TAATCAGCGAGTCGTGATTTAGAATCCCATTACCAAAATGAACACGTCGAAGTTTCATATTATGTCGGTCAGTCCCATTACTCAATTAGAGTAGCCCAAGATTGGCGGTGTGTGATATTGACTTGTTGCTTTCCCTCTGTTCAATCACTTTAAAAGTAAGGACGGCTGGCGAAGATAGCACTCGTGTAGCTTTGCGCGAAATTCAACTGATATAAACTGACTTCCAATTTGTACTTCACAATAATTGGTGAACAGCCGAGGTCTTTCGCAATTTTTTAAAAATCTAATCAGAATCATGTTCATAAATATTAACTTCTGAAGAAAGAAAGATTGAGTTATGACTCTATGAAAGTGTGATAATTATCATTGTTTTGGCATTTTAATGGAAGCACCACACACATTAATAAATTGTCTATTTTGATGCTTTTCTCAACGTTTTAAACCACAATGGTTTTATTCCATAAGCACAGCAAATGACAAATGGAAGGTTCTAATACATCTGTACAATAATGTCTGTTTTCATATGTTTTGTTTTATTGCAAAGATACACAACAGGCTGTTTGCGCTCTGTCTACCACAGAGAATCGAACCCTGAATTTTGGCGTTGTATATCGGTATCTTACCATTGATTCACTGGGGACCTTTTTATTAGGCAATGCCATTTTGACCAGTACGCTGTTAAAACTTGACATAGATTGCAAGATACTTAATAAATCAGCAGTTTAAACCATCAATATTTATCAATCTAGGATGCTACGAAAACAGGGATATAATAAAGTCTAGTTAAAAAACAAACAGTTCAGCTTACACTCAAAGTGGAAAATTAAGGCTGTCTCTGGTCTAGAGCTGTTTTGACCTGCAGTATGAATGTGGTCTTCTTTATTGCTATGGTGTGTTCTTTCCTACTACTATGATTCAGTCACGTGTAGCAAATTGGCAATAACTTTGTTGTTAATACAATGTAGCCTCGTCCACATTAACGTCCTAGAGTATTGGTAAATACGGTAAAATAACATAGGAACGCTTAAACGGAGAAATAGTATAGTTGTAATGTGTTCTGTTGTCGGGCGAGTTCTTTTGGATCATTTGGTACAAATAATACTAAGTGCAGTCCATGTAACGATAACGAATTAATTTATTTCTTCAATAACGTTTGGTTTAGGCTGTTCCCTTCTATACCTAACGTCATAAGTAACGTTAGAACAGTAATTCCGAGACTAATGATAGGCCTAACTTACAATCAAACACATTGACTCACTGTATACTTTATTGCTTACTAACTGAATCACAGGGCTGAATAACTCGCCGAGTAGCACTGAACTGATTCACACATTAACTCGCTGTTCATCCGATTTTCGTATTTATATCGTACCCTTATTTCTACATGCTACACGAAATTTCTAGATCAGTCCATCACTGTTATGACATAATAAAAACTAAATTAAAATATTCAAAACTTAACCTTCAACACCATTTTACACACTAAAGATATATATTCAATCTTAGCTATAAAAAAAAGGAGTCTTAGTTCATTTATGGGTATAAACATTTCAGAAATATCATTTATTGTATTCTCTATACTTTTAATTCTATAACATAAACAAAAATAACGTGACATTTTGAAATAATTGACGTTATTTATGATTGCAGCTCATAGAATCGTTGAAGGTTAAACATTACAATAAATCGAACTAGAAGAAAACTCAGTAGAGCACATACTTCGGCCACGCAGCATTGGTCATTTTCGGTTCTCAAACAAATACGAATATGTGTCCGTATGCCCCTCTTTATCAACGGACACGAACCAGTTTTGGCAGGACAAAAAGGAATAATATTATACATATGTCCACCAAGCTTTATCAAAATTCGACTATTTTTGACTGAGTTATAGAGCAAAAACAGTGTAAAAAATCGGCCATGTTAACAGATATATATATATATTTATTTTGGATTTTCGTGACCTTGACCCTATAAAAACTAATCAATTCTAAGTTGGGTCATAGTTCAAATGTATACCAACTTTCATCCAAATCCATTCAGCCATTTTAGAGACACACACACACAAGGTCAAACAGATAATACACATACGTGGACAGCCTTATAAAACAAATGTATATTTAATTTGTATACATTAATTTCCAGCCGATACACTCGAAAATTGTTAATGATGCATTTCAAACTATGCATTATCTTTCGAACACAAATATATAGTATTTATTATTTATTTTGAATGTTATATTCAATAATACATCATTTATCACTGTTTAATGTACACTGGTGCATACATTTTTCTAAGCGTTGCAATTCAGCTAAGCTGAGATACAGTAACCACTTATCCTCATGAAGATGTAATATCGAAACTTTGAGATATATTATTGTTTAGACTCGTAATATTAACACTTACTGTTATAGGCACATACTTAGGGAAAGCCTTCAAAAAAATGTGATATTAACCACATGCGAATTTGAATTTTTTTACCACCACGAAAAAATGTATCCCCTTCCGTCATTCCTAAAGTTTCAAGTTTTAGATAAAATATGAAATGTTAAAATATATATCTTCTGTTTTTTTTATTTTTTATTTATTGTATATCAAAATTAAAACAGTCCACTGGCACAGTTCTCTATTTATAAACATCAGGGCCGTAGGAAGCGGTAAGGCCAGTCTGGCCACGGCGTGTGTAGCTACAACTTATGTATTTAAAAGTTGCTTCTTGTAATTGAATACATTACTTTGTTTGTATGCAACACCTGCTGTTAAAATGGCTCAAGATTCAATCTCATAACATTGAATTGTCAAAAACTTTCTGGGGGACCAAGCCCTCAGATTCCTCTGGAAATACCATGCTTTGCATGCCGGTAGTGTGCTTTTCACACATCATGTGTCACATTGCTCAACTTTAGTAATGGTCTGAACACGAAAATTGCTTCCTAATACAATTAAAGTGGCAGTGGAAGTTTTAAGAGTTGTTTGAGAATTTTGCACAAAGTTACACACGAGTTGTCTGCATACAGCCGTCCCTAACTTTGACTTGATAAACTATATAAAAAGCAACTATTCAACAGCACCCAATGCCAACTTTTGGGCTCCTCTAATCCAAGCAGGATTTATGAATTAAAGTAAATAATGACATTCTGGGAGAACCTAAACATTAGAATTTTCAAACATTGATTCTTTTGATCTTCCACAACATTATGAGAAATATATTGTGTGAAACTAATCATGCAAGTATTTCCCTATTGTTAGGCCTTTACTATTAAATAAACCGACTCACCAGTGATTATGTCTTACAGCATTTAGGTATGCACAAGTTTCATAACAAATATCATTTGAATAAGATCATAAAAATCACAATCAAAATCTGTTATTATGATTGTCTGTTTAACGTATTCTAAAGTGTTAGCAACTTTTAAAAGAAAAATAAATTACTCTAATGAATTTCTTTCCACTGCTGTTTACTTCATAAAACTTTCATTTCTATGGTCATGTTAATACCAACAACCCTATCACATCATGTGAAATAATTCTATAGTCTATATCCTTCAAATATACAATTACATGAATCAATATATAGTTGTGTACAAAAATCATGTCAATATTTTTACATGTACTTATTAAATACTTCATGTATTGAATACTTGGAAAACTAAGTCTGCCTTTCTTGTACAAACATCTGTGACATCATCATTCACTTTAACTTGTAGTACAAGATATTATTGCATGAGAAATTATACTGACAATACAGATGGTACAGGACTTGGAAATGGACTACATGAGAGTTCTTCTAAACATATTACAAGTTTTGTCAGGAAAAAAAAAGGTTTTACTTTATAGCTTTAAATACTTCTAAAATAACATTCAAAAAAATTTTCTTTTGATGAGTTTTATTCAGTTTATGAGGAAGGAGGAATACTGAAAAATGATGTTCCAAGTAAAAAACTAGGGATGAGCACTATGATTATAAACTCATGTTAACATGCATTAATATATTTTATGTTTTACTGCTACATTTACATCATTGATTATTTAAGTTTACAGACAGTACTTAATCATCTCTTCATAATAATCATGATGTTAGGAAAACACATCGGTTAAAGAAATCAATTTAACAGAAAAATAGATATCCTATAACCTTTCTTCTCTAAAATACTAAAAAAATTAAAATCCACTTGTTTAAAAAAAATCAATGATTTATTTGTATTATTTTTATTACATATAAAATAGAAAAGAAAAGCATAAAATTCAAACACAATTACAATATCAATTTAAATCCAGCTTCATTGGTATGAATAGTCAAAGTTCTGTATATTTTTATGGATGGTATATTGACATTTCCTTTCAAAACTACAATGTTCGAAAAAATGTTGTGTGGCTATCATCTTGATCCAGTCCTTGGTAATATTATTTAGTTTCATAATTTTAATTCCAAATGTTAATTTAAATACAAATGATCCTAAAAAGTTTGAAATGTAAAAGTTTATTCGACTGAAATTGAATAAAATTAGCAAACTAGCTTCAAAGTTAAAACTATACATGTATGTATGATATTAATTTTATCTCACAGATCATACTAGTAGATCTTAAGACACATCTGACAAATCATACATGAACATACAATTATGTAAATTGGAAAGAATGTTTAGTAAAAAGATAATAATAACTACCTTTCAAAATGTTTAATTTTAAAGCTACCTCTGACAATCATGATAAACTGATCTTGTTTGTAAGACTATGATCATAAAGAACATTTTGTATAATGTACATGTAATGTTCATACAGTTTACACGTAAGGATACCAAGAATAACACAGTAAATGGAAACAAATTCTCAATCCTCAAATATAAGCAATGGAGTTTGTGTTGTTGTTGTTGTACCCCTACATGGTTATTACAAACAGCATATTAAAAGCTTACAAGTTTATTGGTACACACAATTTTGAAGACACACACAAATACAAAGTTCCAATTATAATACTTGAATTTTATCTTTTTGAAGCACTGTGTTGTTCAATTTCAATTTGGCTAATGTCAGGACTGAATAATTTAACTATGTTTCAAGGACATAGAAGCAACACTAATAAAAAAAAATAAAAATCGTGTATCACAAAAATCTATCAATCTCTTAATGTCAATGAGCTTAAGTAAATATTTATTGTTTACTACACATTTACTAGTTATCTTAATGTATAACGAAAAGAGACCCCTGTCTTACGTTTTTGTACATTTAAGTATTTGTTCATATTTATATATACATATATAACTGCATATATTATAGCAATGACTTGTTTCAAGCATGAACCAAGTTACTTATTAGAAAAATACCTTGCAAATACTCTGTTTTGATTTTATTAGTGACAATGACATAATAATAATTATCTTTTACAACAACTTTTTTGGTTATTCTTTTAAATCTACAATACCGTATCTTCCATCTTACACTTCAAGCCAATACTAATAAAAAATAGAAGTTAAGACCACATTACAGAACACACTTAGAGAACTGGGCTAATTACAAATATCAACTATTTGTCACAGATGCAATTTTTGGGTGTAATTAGATACTGGGAGAAAAACTTTTATGTGAATGAAGGTAGTTTTATTTTGAGTGAAAAAAAAAAGGTTGTTATTATCTAAGGTTAGAAAAACAAATAAATAGGTGATTTAATAGCAATCTATACCTTAAAATGGGATTGTACGCAACTTATAAATTGATATCTAGATTATACGTGACAAATGCACCTTTGCTGGTTACACAGTTTTTTCTTCTCTTAACACTTGGTCACTCATAGAATGGTAAAAATAACTTCCATACTGCATTTCTCACAACCACCTGGTATATTTATATGCATTATGTATGTACAAAAAAAAAACAGAGCTTTCCTTTACAAGAGAAAAAAGTATTCCTGTACAGAAAATGTAGCTATGAATGTTTCTTTTTTTGCAGATCCAGTCGTAACTCACCACTGTCAAGCATCTTCAATAGCACCCATGAAGATAGATTCCACAAACTCTCTGGCATATGTTCATACCACCACCACTACAAAAAAATAAAATAATAATAATAATTATACTTAACCAGAAAACAGGTTAGTGACTTAATTAATATTCAAGGACAACACCTGAAATGAGAATGGACATTTTCTAGATATCTTGTACAGCAAATTAAAAACTACATGAGTAGTAAGCAGGTAATGACAGGCAGGCAAACAACGATTTATAAGCATAAAACATCTTTATTGATGGTGGAACATACTACATGTTTTGACAGAACATTGGTCTTTCTTCTCCGGGTATGTCAATGTTCTGTCGAAATGCATTATGTTCCACCATCAATAAAACTTTTCCTTAAGCTTATAAATCATTGTTTGTCTACCTATTATTATATTAGCATAATGTGCTTGCTTACTCAAGTAGAAAGTAGGTAATTACAGGTTTATTTCACTGTGAATTCAAGTTGCACAGAATAACTATAAATATTTATGAAGTACTTAAAACCACATATCAACGTGTTTTTCAGAAATATAAAATTTTCATATTTCATGTTAAGTGCTTTTCTATGCTCTCATAAACTTGTTTATTACATTTTTAACATGCCATGATGATAAAAGTAACAAATCAAATTTGAATAAAGTATCAGACAGTACGTGACAAAATGCCTAGTTTGAGTAACTAACATTTTTTATTGAATGTGTCAAAAAAAATCTGAAAATTACATTTGCCCATTATGTAAATTTCCGAGATTGTTTTTTCAGCAACATAAGAAATTGTTTGTTCACACAAATCAGATTAAATTTAACCACTAAAATAACTATTAATCTGATAAAGCCATATGCATATATACACCAATTTCTAGCTAGAAACAACTTATTGGAGCAAATTAATAAAAAGAAGTAAAGGTAGCTTCCATAATATAAGTCAAAATATTTAGGCATCATTTTTAAAAAGACACAAGATATACTAACTTGAAGGCCATGTGTCCAATATCCTGTTGTTCGATTGGTTGTTCCAACTGTGCAAAGGGCACTGTTCACAAAACTGTGAGCATCAGGAACAATGTAACCTGGTTTTTGTAAAAAATGACTGAAGCGGGTAAGTTTGGTTGATATGTAGGATGGCAAGAGAGTCTGGATCGTTATTCCTTTGGATTTGTATTCATAGTTTAAAGCTCGAGAAAACCAATCCACATATGCCTACAATAAAGAAAAGAAAAATACTACTGTGTGTGTGTGTGTGCATTCACAATCTGCAATCACTGACCGATGACACTTCTTCAAACAAGCTAAGGAACAAATAGAACTGGGTGATTAGTGAAATTTGGAATTCAATTAATTCTTGGGCACTCATTATTCAATTGCATTCAATTTTCCTCACATGATACTAATCTGCCTATTATCACACTTTAATATCATTAACATCTTCAAGTACACCAATTTGGTACTGAGTTACTCTCTGGATCCTTAACTGCTATACACAAAAATTTATGAAACCTGTAACAAGCTGAAAATATGATTAACACAGTTCCATGGGTTTCTTCCTATAAATTGTTTTACAAGACTACTCTAGTAACAATAACTAAACTAATTATTTATTAAAAATAGTCCTTAAAGTTCATATCACGAAACTAGTAAAGATTCTTGTCACAGTGTTTGATAGAAATATATAACTCAGTGAAGCAATTTCATGATGATCTTTTAACAAAAATGATGAGTACAAAGTTTACTTTTCTGGCAAGAAAACTTAAGATATTAAATTACTTCTTTTGTTTATAAGATAGAAACTGAAGTATCATAAGAAACATTAGAATCAAAGTATTGTAAAATGTAAAATATAATTAAACTTTAGAAGTATAAAATGTCCTAAGCTTTTAAGTGAGAACTTGTAACAGATGGAAGTTTATAGAGAACATGTTAAAATGATCAGTGTCGGTCATCTTAATGTGTTCTTTCTAAACCACCATGAGAGTCAACTGCTTCACACTTAAAAGCTTATAATGTTTGTTTTTCATGTTGATGATGGAATTAGAAATTCCAGAATGTTGGCATATAAAGACTGTTTTGGCACTAACATGTTTTTAATATTTCTTTTAAGTTTCCAATTTCCATCTTATGAACAATTCTAATATCTTCAAAGAGATCATTAAATATCATCATAAGTTTTCTCATCAAACAGCAAATGGTAAACTGTCCATTTTTCCTAGGATCAGAGTGAATTTGTTTTCACTGAATTATACATTATCTACTACATTGTGAAAAGAACCTTTATTAATTTTATACTGACAATTACTTTCAGTATATTTAGTAATAGCATAGTAAAGTCAGATATCCAGTTTTATGTTATACTACTATACTTTCGTATTTAGCAAGTTAATATTAACAAAGAATTAGTAATAAATATCCCCGTTTTCTGGTAGAATCCAATTGTGTTTTCAACCTTTCTGACTCTGATTAGTCATATACCTTCCCTTACTATACGAATAATACTAGAGAAATTTTTTAAAGGTATGCACAAGAGTAACATTCAGTAAGAACCAAAGTACATTAAGTTTAGTGTTTTTCTGGTATGTAATCAATGTAATGAAGTAATAGTTATTTTCAACAACAAAAATTAAGTAGTTTCAGTAATCTTGTGAAACTCTACTGAAAGATAACCATATTTTCAGTTTGTTACAGGTCTAGACTGCATATATTTAATACTTTCATATTTAACAGCTTAGGTTTAAAAAAAATAAAACAGTTAAGTAAATCCAATCATTTTTAATTCAAGACATCTATGATACTAAATGAGGGGTGGTCAAAAATGATTTAAAAAGAAACCAGAACAAGCTGAAAATTGGAATATTAGACTAATGTGAGAATAATCAATTAATTGAATGTAATTAATTAATGAGCTCAACGATTAATCGACTAGCAAATCCCACTAACTGCTCAGCTTTACTGCTGGAGCATGTGCATGTTGTCAAATTGACTATAGCTTGACTAGAAGTATCAGAAAAATTGTTTTTGATCTCCATATTCTGTCATCAGATAAAGGTGTTTCAATAAAAACTGCAATTCTGATATGTGCATATTCAAAGCTAAAATAGTATATATTAGTACGATGTTGTAAGAACCGTTTATTATTATTATTATTAAACTACAATGTAACTCATTTAGAAAAGACATATTAAACTTTTACACTATATGGAGTCATAACATTAAAAATTCTCCTGGATGTAAGTCTACATTTAAGGTATTATTTCTTAAAAAAAAATTTAAAATATATAACTGCCATTTCCAGTTGTAAGTTATTCATAAGGACAAGTATAAACTGGTTAATTTAATACTTATCATAACAATAATATTTTCTTACCTTTGAAGCAGAATATGCTGCCATTAATGGGAGAGGATAAAATGATGAAATGGATGACATATTGATGATAAGTCCTTTCCGCCTTAAAAAAATCGGGTTTAATTTTAAAATTATAATCTCAAGAACACTAACATGGGTTAGTAATAGAATGTTTAAAAAAATTTAAAAACCAATGTGCAAACCTACATTATTAACACATGTTCAAGTGATTTTCTGAAGTTCTTTTTGCCAAAACATCAAACATACCTACTCGTACCTGATGATGACAAAACCTTGTCGAAACATTGTACATTTGCTGTTATGTTAATCTTGTATTAAAGCCATCTACAAGCATTATTAAACATACCTACTGTATATTATTTTATGTTTATTGTCCAAACATCTGAATTTTTGTATTGTTTAATCAGTATTCAAAATCAAATGGCCAGAAAGAAATTTTTTTGGTCAATGTCTCAGAAAATAAATACAAAAATATCTGTAAACTAAATTAATTTGTTAAATATTTCATACTCAAACTTGAGAAGATGCTGCTATCTTAAGCTGTTATTTAATGGATTTCTTTTGTTGGTGGTTATCGTATGTCATTGCTACAAGCACTTAAGGAATTTCTTTGATCTATTTATAGCTTACTTAGAAAATCAGATAAATTAAAATAATTTGGGAAATTCTATTTTACTTACTGATATATTTGTGTTCTAAAACACATATGAAAGCTATATCAATTTTATTTTAGGATTCCCAAATTTGAGAAACTCAATTTTTACTTGAGTGCAAACAAGATGTTTTTATGTATATATTTTATTTTTTGTGATATATTTTGAAACTAAAGTGTAAAAATCAAAACTTCTTAGCTTAGCTTGAAAAAACCTCAGTAAAATAAAATGTCTTCAATTTTATGGGCACGAGTGTGTGTGTGTGTAACACAACCCTGCTCTTTATGCTAGCTCTATAAGAAACAGCTAGTCCATTAGAACTGTCATTTGTTTCTTTTTACGTGCAGTAGTCTAATAGTAATTACAACAAAGTACAACAGTAAAATCATAAAATTAAACTGTAAACTTGAAGTGCTTAAGTTGTTAAATAACATCATTAATTTGATTCTTTCTGACCAATACCTGAGTCAGTGCAGAGTAAAAAAAATGGTATTATTCATTGTATTTCATATTTATCAACTTTTCATTTCACTGTATAGTGATAATTTTATTACAGTTAAATGTTAGAATAGAGAAAATAAGAGATAATAAAACTTTGATTTTCATTAAGGAGATTCTACAGGTTATCCAGGCAAATGAAATAGAAAACTGTAAGATGAAAAGAAGAATTTTACTTCTTAGCAGGAAAATCACCTTTCACTCAGACTGACTCAGTAAAGACTTTGGAAATTC